TAGTACACTACGGACAAGCCTATGGTGCATTTTTTGTGGCACATGAATGTCGTTTCTGAGAGTGAGTGAATTCTTTCCATCTTGAGTTTCTACATGTTCTTGAACTTTATTATTTGTAGAACTACTCTCGTTTGTTGTGTAAGGGCACTTGATTCATGAAGGGAAGGTAATGTCATTGACTTCTATGTTAGAGTAAGTAAATGAGTTGTGAATAATGCGTGGTACTTGTGAGTCAAATCTTGAGGTGAAGATGTTACACTATTGTGCTTAGTGTACTTTAAATATTCTTGGTGTGATGAGTTAGGACAGTAGCTTAGTAAGGTTGTGTCTATATAAAGTGTGGTTTGATTGCTCGAGGACGAGCAATGGTTTATGTGTGGGGTATTGATGGTAGACTATAATCTCATGTTTTAGTCAATTATTACATTCTAATTTACTGCACTTTAGTTGAGTTTGAGCTTTAATCGCTAGTGTTTTTCACTAATTGTGTGTTTTATGCCTTGTAGGAGTGATTCTGAGCTATGTAGATGTTATGAAATGAATTCAAGTGATTTGGAGCTTTGAAGTCTGAGTAAAAGCCCAAGGAATTAAGCCGGGATCATGTTCGGGGATCAACGGATGATAGTTAAGAACGAACGAAGAATCAAGCAGGCATATTGCGCAGTGTCTAGTAAAATGCATATAACTTTTTGCTAGGAACTCCGTTTCGTCTAACAATATATTGTTGTAAAGCTAATTCAAAGGGCTATAACTTTCATGTTTTACGTTTATTCAAATTCCCAACAGAAGAGGGTGAAAAGGGCGCGGCAAGTGCGCGGCCGCGCACTGACCGCGTATATGGGGCAGAACAGTGTGAAAAGTGCGCGGCCAAGTGCGCGGGCACACTTCCAGGTGCGCGGCCATGCACGTCCAACTCCAGAAAAGTGTCCTTTTTCGCATAGGAGGAGGTGTATTTGTTTGGTCCCGACCCTACTTGGTATATATACATAGAAAAACAGTATTTTGAGGACCTTTGACATAATTTAGACCTAAGGAAGCTAAGGAGGAGAGGGAGAAGTAAGAGCACAAGGATTTCACCATTCATCCTCACTCAAGACAAGGGTTTGGATGTTTTATGTTTTACTTTGACTTAAACTTAATTGTGATGAATTTCTCCATATCCATGGAGTAATTCTTCCTTAGGGATTGATGGATTTGGTATTTTAAGAATTGTTTGTGGATATTAACTCTAGTTTTATGTATTGAAGCGTTTTGAGTAATTTTATTGTTGCATATATATTCACTTGTTTATGTAATCGAAAGAGGCATAATTTGTGATGTTTTGAATTATCTTATTGGTTGAATTCATTGATTCTTGTTAGTAATCGAAAGAGGCTAGTTGAATTAATGTTTAGACCTAGTTAGGAGGATAATCGAAAGAGGTTCTCCTAAGGATCAATCCACTACGAATTCTTGCATATCTTCACCAAGCTTAACTTAGTTCATATCGTAAGGTTGAGACTTAATCGAGAGAGGAGTTTCTACTGAATGTTTGAACATAATAGAGTGAATTCGAGAGATTCACTTGAACCATAGAAGTGAAGTAACTAGAGTTAATTCCCAAACAAGTATCTTACACCTATCCAATCAACCCATATTTCCTCCCCTTGATATCTTCTTGCTTACTCTTATTGCAATTGTCATTAGCCAATAGTTAGACTTATAGTTAATGTTAGTTTTAATCCACATAAATCTAAATTATTGATCATCTTGAATAGCAATAAAGTTGTAAACTACGAAAATACTGTTTAACTCCAATCCCTGTGGATACGATATTTTCTATACTATATTCGACTAGCGAGCATAATTTTGTGTTGTGTTTTTAGCTCGTCAATAAGTATGAAGTTTAGCAAATACTCATTAGAAAATTACATACTGCAGAATAAAACTTCAGCATGTTTAGTCTAGAGTTTTTGCAAATGAACATAAAAACTTCAGCATGTTTAGTCTGGAGTTTAGGAAAAAACTTATGACACAACTACAGACTGCAGGACAAAACATCAGTATGTTTTAGTATGAAGTTTTAGCAAATGAACTAAAAAAACTTCAGCATGCATAAGTATGAAGTTTTGCAAAAACTCATCAGAAATTACAGACTGCATGACAAAACTTCAGCATGTTAAGTCTGAAGTTTTAACAAATGAACATAAAAACTTTAGCTTGTTTAGTCTAAAGTTTAGGAAAAAACTCATTACAAAATTACAGACTGCAAACAAAACTTCAGCATGTTTAGTATGAAGTTTTAGCAGATGAACTAAATAACTTCATCATGTTTTAGTATGAAGTTTAGGAAAAAGTCATTTACAAAATTACGTAATGTAGGACCAAACTTTAGCATGTTTAGTTTGAAGTTTTATGTTATATATCTTTGAAACAACTTCATGCTACATTAGCATGAAGTTTTTAGCTTTATATTTCATTTGAAACTTCAGACTTCAACGTGAAATAACTTCATGCTACATGAGCATAAATTTTTAGCTTGTATTTGATTGAAACTTTCAGACTTCAACGTGAAGTCTGACAAAACTTCAACATGTTAAGTCTGAAGTACTAGTAAATGAACGTAAAAACTTCAGCTTGTTTAGTCTGAAGTTTAGGAAAAAACTCATTACAAAATTACATATTGCAGGATAAAACTCCAGCATGTTTAGTATGAAGTTTTAGCAGAAGAACTAAATAACTTCAGCATATTTTAGTATGAAGTTTAGGAAAAAGTCATTTACAAAATTACATACTATAGGTCAAAGCTACATGAGCATGAAGTTTTAGCTTGTATTTGATTGAAACTTTCAGACTTCAACGTCAAACAACTTCATGCTACATTAGCATGAAGTTTTAGCTTGTGTTTTATTGAAACTTCAGACTTCAACGTGAAACAACTTTATTCTATACCCTTCATGCATTAAATTTGAAGTTTTGAAAAGTTTTTGAAGATCTATAAGTAAAAAACTTTATGCTATATCCGTCAAACAACTTCATACAAGTGTGATTTATAAATGACCATAACTGAATATATCTATAGGCGTTAATTGAATTCATTTTTTGTTTTTTTAAGTTCAAAACTTAAAAAGCATGACGAATTACGAAAATAATTGTAGAAACATATATCATGAAGCTCAATCAGTTTCACAAACTAATGTGAATTCTGAAGATGAATTGCAATACTTACAATGTATTTTGTAATTTTGAATTCTAAAGATGAATTTGGTTCAAGTTTCTGATTTTTGATAAAGCTGCTGAGAGGAGAGGAGATCTTCGACCAGGGTTGAAGGAGATCTTTTGATGAGGGACGGAGTGATGGAAGATATATTTTTCACGAACGAGGTTGCAGATCACGCGATTAATGCATGATGCAGGTTTTATATCTTTTGTGAGGAGTATAATTTTCATATTATTACGGATTTTTTGTTAGTTGGCTACCAAATCAATATTTTTTTTAAAATAGGGTATAGGTTAAAAGATGACACAAATATAATTTATGACTGCAAATCGCCCCGCAAAAAGGTTGTCTCCTCCTTAATGTCCTTGGGCCTCAGCACAGTGAATATTGGAAAAATGACATTGTATAACCGCTCTCAAAATAATAGCCGAATATATATATATGAATATATATATACATGTTTTATATACTTTTTCGACTATCAAATGTAAATAGTTTTTGGCGCAGACTCGAAGTGAAAAAAGCTCGTGAATATTATGATGATTATATTACTTTCGTCTACCAAGAAGACATGTCTCTCAATTTGGAAAAATTGGACCGAGTCAAAGTTCTCATTAATAAAAGAGGGCTATATCAAGGGGCGGCTCAACAGATCTCGAGGCCTAAGGCGAAACCATATTTAGAGGCCCTTAATCCCAGTATAATCTCACTAGTGGAGTCTTGGGAGGGTAGTTTGCACGCAGACCTTACCCCTACCCTGGAATAGAGATGTTGTTTTCGATAAACCCTCGACTCCCCCCCTCCAAGAACTCCCCAACTTGCTCTTGGGGTGACTCGAACTCACAACCTCTTGGTTGCAAGTGGAGGATGCTCACCAATAGAGCAACCACTCTTGTCAAATATACTAATTAATGAGGGAAGAAAATTATCATAATTTATAAATTTATTGTATAAAATAACCTCAATCAAGTAACAAAAAGTATACTGTAACACTTTTTTTATTCTAATTATTTATATAAACAATATAATATATAATAGTAACAATAATAATAAGAATTTAAAATAAATTTGGAGGTATTTAAAATTTGGGGGCCTAAGGCAATGGCCTCACTGCCCAAAGCCTTAGAGCCGCCCCTGGGCTATATCCACTTTGTCGTTTTATTTGGTCGAAATTTTCAGTTTATGCTAAGATTATTGATCACGCCAAAGATTTGAACTTTGCCAGTATGGTTAATTAATAAAGTTGTAATGTATTGATGTATCAATTAAGAAAAAAATCGGTCTGCATAATTCAACCTTCAATTTTCTAACGGTATATGTGATTAGACCAGTCCACAATTTGCCTTTTGTTTTAATTTTGTTTGGACTCTAAACTAGTCCAGTGACTTATATGCTGCTGATGATTCTTTTCTGTCAACTCATGACTAATGCAAAGAAAATGGCGTAAATAGTTTTGATCGCGGGCTAAAAGTGTTGTTTGCCCATTTCCGTTGCCTTTTTTCTGCAGGTACCATTATTTCATTTTAATTCTAAGACAACTTACTATTTGAATTTTAATCGCATCTTGGGGAAAAAAAGTCGATTTACTTTCTTTCTTTTCTTGTAATAAAAAAAAAGAAAAGAGTTCAACTTATCTGGTCACCTTTACATGTAGGTAACTTGAATTAATTTTTCAAGATACAAATTTCACTTCTCCTAGAGAGTTATTCTTAGATATCTTTTGAATATTGCCAATTTATAAGTTAAACTTTTCATTCTAATAACATTCGGCGGGCTAGAAATGAATTTGTACAGTCTGACTTGTTGGTCCAAGATGGCTTTTTGGGCTCAAGATGGCCCATCATCTGATCCATAGACGTGCAACTACCTCCCGCCAAAGTGTAGAGTTTGAAAATAATGGTCTGATACCAATGGTGCGAGATTTCAAAATGCGTTTCAGAAGATTGCACAGCATTTGTTCGCGTTCACTACTAAACGAACCGGCGAGTCATCTCAGAGCAGAATTACCACGCAGAAAAAGTCCCAAGTTACCCAGCTGTAAACCACCGGCGAAGGCAGAAAAAGTCAGTAGCTCGGACATAGTGCAATGGAACAGGACCATCACCCAACACATGCGACAAGGAGAATGCGATTCCGCACTGCGCTTATTTAATTCCATGCCTGCCAAGTCCTATGTATCCTGGAATGCAATGATATCTGGTTACTTGTTGAACGGCAGATTGGACATCGCTCAGCAGTTGTTTGATGAAATGCCTCAAAGAGACTTGGTATCCTGGAACATTATGCTTAGTGGGTATATCAAGAGTAAGAATTTTGGGGCAGCTAAGATGTTGTTTAATCAAATGCTTGTTAAAGACGTAGTTTCGTGGAATGCGTTGCTTTCTGGGTATGCCCAGAATGGGTACATTGCTGATGCTAAAAGGATCTTTGACATGATGCCTGTGAAGAATGAAATATCGTGGAATGGACTTCTGGCTACGTATGTTCAGAATGGGAGGATTGAGGAGGCGAGGAAATTGTTTGAGTCAAAGGACAATTGGCCACTGGTTTCTTGGAATTGCTTGTTGGGCGGGTATTTGAAGAAGCATTTATTGGCTGAGGCAAGGGTGCTTTTTGATAGAATGCCTGTTAAGGATCAGGTCTCATGGAACACAATAATTTCTTGTCATGCCCAGAATGATAATTTGGAGGAAGCGAGGAAGTTGTTCGATGAGTCCCCTATTAGGGACGTGTTTACCTGGACTTCAATGCTTTCTGGTTATGTACAGAATGGGATGGTAGATGAGGCTAGGAGGATTTTTGATGAGATGCCAGAGAAAAATGAGGTCTCGTGGAATGCAATGATTGCAGGATATGTGCAGTCTAAGAGGATGGACTTGGCAAGGGAATTCTTTGAGGCAATGCCTTGTAAGAACGTTAGCTCTTGGAACACAATGATAACAGGTTATGCTCAAAATGGGGATATTGTGAGTGCCAGAAGTTTATTTCATTGTATGCCTTGTCGTGATTGCATCTCTTGGGCAGCAATTATTGCCGGATATGCTCAAAGTGGCAATAGTGAGGAGGCATTGCGCATGTTTGTGGAAATGAAGAGAGATGGCGGGAGGATAAATAGGTCCGCATTTACTTGCGCTTTGAGTACATGTGCTGACACTGCTGCTTTCGAGTTAGGAAAGCAAATACATGGACTGCTTGTCAAGGCTGGATATCACACTGGTTGCTACGTGGGAAATGCGCTCCTAGCAATGTATTGTAAGTGTGGAAGCATTGATGAGCCGTATGATGTGTTCGAGGAAATAGAGGAAAAAGATGTTGTCTCTTGGAATACAATGATCGTTGGTTATGCAAGGCATGGTTTTGGCAAACAAGCTCTTCAACTATTCAAATCAATGAAAGAAGCGGGTTTCAAACCTGATGATGTCACCATGGTAATGTTGATACATTATTAATTTTATAAAATGATTTCAAGGTTATTTTAGAACTGCTTTTGCATTTATGGAACTGTTCAAAACCACTCCATCCCTAATTGCTTAATGCGATTTTATGTAAAGATTGCTCCAGTGTGTTGTGGGTTACCTTTGCATGTTCTATTCTTTCTAGTTGAACAGTCACGCTACAGAGACCAACCATCATCTGATATAGGGTTTTGACACAATCTTTGTATTGTCAATACTTCCCTCCTATGTGCATATTTTTTTTTATTTTATACAGACAGTTATTTAGGTTTCATCTTTTTTTTGTCCTTTCCTTTATAGGTTGGTGTATTGTCTGCTTGTGGCCATACTGGCCTGATTGACAAGGGCATGGAATACTTTTACTCAATGGGTCGCGATTATGGAATAACTGCAAACCCGAAACACTACACTTGCATGATTGACCTTCTGGGACGAGCTGGGCGCCTGAATGATGCTCAAAATCTAATGAAGGACATGCCTTGTGAACCAGATGCAGCAACTTGGGGTGCTCTCCTTGGGGCAAGTAGGATCCATGGAAATACTGAATTAGGAGAAAAGGCTGCTGAAATGATTTTCAGTTTAGAGCCTTGGAATGCAGGGATGTATGTCCTTCTCTCAAATTTATATGCAGCTTCTGGTAGATGGCGTGATGTTAGCAAGATGAGATTAAAAATGAGGGATACAGGTGTAAGGAAAATGCCTGGTTACAGCTGGGTTGAGTTGCAAAATCAGATTCATCTTTTTTCAGTTGGGGATACCATGCATCCAGACAGTAAAAGAATATATGCTTTCTTGGAAGAGTTAGAGTTACTAATGAAGCAGGAGGGTTATGTCTCTGCCACGAAATTGGTCTTGCATGATGTGGATGAAGAGGAGAAGGCACACATGCTCAAGTATCATAGCGAAAAATTAGCCGTTGCTTTTGCAATTCTAAACGTACCATCTGGGAGACCAATTCGTGTGATGAAAAATTTAAGGGTTTGTGGAGATTGTCATACTGCTATCAAGATCATATCAAAGATTGTGGGTAGATTGATAATCATTCGGGATAATAACCGTTTTCATCACTTCAGTGGAGGTGTTTGTACCTGTGGAGACTATTGGTAGTACTGGAGTGTGAAAGTTTACCAGTAGATTTCAGCGGCTGTAATATTTTCTATTGCGCTGGCCATAAGGCCATCTCCATACATGTTGAGAATATATAGTTAATGCACACGGGGAAGCAAAGTGCAAGCACTTGTTTTTAGTTCTTCTATCCAGGAGACATGAGAAACTTTTTATCTGAAGCAACTGCGCAGCAGAGGGGAAACTCCTTTCTTATTATTTGGTGCGTACAATCTGTATCTCCTCATTGATGTTGGTAGAAAGGAGATGTGCTGAGATATATGGTCCATCATCCTTGCACTTAAGCATCATAGAACAAAAAGAGGAGGAATAGTTGCCTTAAGTTTATCAGAGATCTGACAGGAAGAAAAGAATCAGGTGAATGTGTAGGAGGGGTTGAGCAGTTGTTCCTTTCACATAAATCGAGTACCACTTTTGAAGTACTGAATCTTTGTTCCTCTGTTCTCTGGCTGATAGATTCTTGACAGGCCTAATCTATGCATCTCTGTCTGGCCCAAATGTATGACAGTGACTGTTCATTGTGTATCATAAACCAGAAAATTGATCTATACTAAGCTCCACTGATTGATTTCCTACTTCTTTGAGCACCACTAGCTAAGTGGCAATGATGTTGTTGTGGCTCAGTGACGGCCCTCTCTTCAAATTCTGCTTACTAACAGAATTTCTGCTGTCTAAGATTACTTTTGCCCTAAGTAAACCTAATCTGCAGCCATGAGACAAGTAATGGTACATCTTTTCAGGATCAGCTGAGGTGGACATTTGTTGGATGACTAGACAATCACCATACTCAGTTGTCATTGGTACTGGTATCCTTCTGAGTTTTGAAAGCAAAAGATAAAGAAATTTCCTTCATCCTAAATTTCTCTTCCTTATGATCAATTGTTCGGGTGAGAGTCACTTAGGATATTTATTGTCACTCTATTGAAAGCAGAGATTGAACAGTCTCTGTAATTTGTGATGTTTGTGTTTCTAAACTAGTTACATTCAGTTTCAGGAAGAAAAGAGTAAGAAATCGACAGACTGATCAAAATGGTGGAAAAAGCCACATTGCCTGAAGATAGAAAATACTTTGATCAGGTAAGTGAATCTGATGGGAAGTGTTTTGGATATGGATTTGAACATATATCTGCTCAAGCCACTTTTTTTCCACTCGGAATAGTATCATTTATCCTGACATAGTAAGGCAGGATAGCAGTCAAGGGGATGCTGGGATGGACCAACTCTATAATTGAACAAGAGATATCAAGAAACGTTTGTCTAGTTTTGGAATCCCCGATCAGCCCTTCAATAACTTATGGGCAATAGAGAGCTTCTTTGATGATTTTGGTTGGCTGTGTTTCCAGTTTTCGATACAATTCACAAAAGTTTTTACTATCTTAACATTTGTATAAAGTGACACTGCTTCATGTTTAATTCGTACTCAAGCCATGAAAGGTACGACCAAGGAGATCGTTAACACACTGAAGAGAGTACTATGCTACCAGTCTGAGACAGCAAGCAGAAAGAATAATTGGCCTGAAACCTTCAGTTGGATTTCTTGAGTAATTGGAAGCGGGAGGCCAGCCTAGCGATGTGTTTGAGGCTTTTATTTTTTAATCAAAATGTGTTTGCTGCTTAATATACTAAACTGTCAATGTACCACACAGTTGGAGACAGGGAGGTTACACATGTAGACTTGCATAAATCTGGAATAGCCTAAATAGGACTTAGAAACCTGTTTGCACTTCTCTCTGATTGGAACACTGCTACTCTATTTTCATGATTATGTTTTCTTTATAATCCTTGTTGCAACAGTGAGTGTTTCTTAATCAAAAGTATTAAGCAGAGAATGCAGTGAAAGATTAGCAGCATATGAAAATACTGTATCATCAAATTTATACAAAGATGAGTTAAATTTTGCAGAATAAGTTCATGATCCCAGTCGGGTCAACAGTTATCAAGTCTACATCGTTTTAAGACGGGCATTTACATTCAAAGTGTCAATAACCAAATCTTTTCATTTTGTTCCTTCCCCAGTTGTTGGTTTCGGTTTTACGCTTTGGTCCACTTGTATGATTGCCAACGGTGCCATCAGAGTTGAAACAAACAACTGCTCGCTGTAAATGAAGAAATATATTACCAGTGAGCTCTCCCTCTGAACATTTACTATACTTCATTTGCAAAGCTAGATCAATCTTGATATTTTAAACATCAAGGTGGGTATGTGTTTTACCTCAATGCTAGCTTTTTGGCCTTGTAAATTTCCTGTTCAGAACAACATGAGATGTGACTCGACGAGTATAATTTTCATAATAATTCAATTGTAGTCAGGATTTCTCACCAGAGTATTTAGGCATGATTTTCTCAGCAGAGCCAGTTTCATTTTTTATTTGTATACCAGGATGACACTTATATGTTTGGCCTTGTAAATTACCTAGTCAGAACAACACAAGATGTGACTCAACTAGTATAATTTCCAAAAAAAAAAAATCAATTATAGTTAGGATCTTCTAACCAGAGCAGTTGGGTAAGATTTTCTCATCAGTGCCAGCTTCCTTTTTGGGTTGTATACCGGGATGGAACTTATCTTTGGACTTAATGATTTGGGAAAGAGTTCCATCATCAGTTTCTTCAAGATTTTTAAGAGGTTAGACAACAGGTCTTTGCACAGAAATAGCCCTTAAGCTTTGAGATAGAATAAAAAAACCAGTAAATCAACATACCTAAGAGTGATTCAATAGCGGTTCGAGCAGCTAATTGCTCTGCCATTTTCTTACTTCCAGCTACCTCACCTTTGTAAGTTCTAAATCCCAAAGACACACAGGAAATAAAAACTGAACTTGGCCCTTCATATACGGGGTTATATATAGGCCTCCTCAGGTTCTTCTTGATAGCAAATTCATATAGAATGGATTTGCACAGCAGAGGTTCCTTGAACACAACAAAAGACAAACAAGTAATGTATTTTAAGCAAAAGAGAAATGTTTAGATATTAAGAAAGAAATAAGTGAAGAGTACCCTATAAAGAAGTGAACATTCTGTAGCATCAATTTTTTTGCAAATGTATTCATAAGCTAGTTTTGCAGCTGCTTGCTCAGCTTGTATCTTAGTGGGATGAGTTGACATTGATTCGTATTTGGAACCATCAACCAAGACTGTTGATCTGAACTTAGGCGCATGTGTAAAACCTTCATTAACTGTGTGATAAATTGGGAGCGGTTTGGCCAATTTTTGCGTGTACTCTTGTAGCTGATTCTTATACATTACTGGAAAAAAAAAAGATTTATTAGTATTAAGGAGTCAATACGAAAACAATGCATTAAAAAACATGAGAAGATAGTTGAAATGAGAGGTGCATACTAGGAGGAAATTGAGGAAACTCCATTGCTTGAGATGATTAAAATGGATGATTTGGCTCCATAAAGAAACACACAGTTTTGTGAAACTGTGCAATTCTTTTAGAAACTAAAATGGAGTCTTTTGAAGGTACTCCTTGTTATGGTTCTGCAAAATATTTCCTAATGTACTTTGCATGGGAAGTTGAGGTGTGTGTGAACTGTAAAAGGGAATCATTTTGTACCACAATATTATTACTTTTTTTTTTATACTTTTCTAAAAATATATTACTACTACCTTTTTAATAAAGGTACATTTGTGTAACGTCTTAGGCCCTAATGGAAAAAAAAATGTGCTTTATAATGGCAAGTTCTCTTCTAAAATCTCAAGCTTTAAAATGGAATCCACTTAGTTTTGCGTTTTCCCCATTTCTCAGGGGTTGTCCTATTTTCATTTTTAGGTGACTGTATGGTAGTTAATTTGTCAGTTTGCTTTTTACCATTTGTTTTTTCTTTTAGTATATCATTGTTAAGAGTCTTAAGGATTAAAAAAATAGCATACTTTTGTTCTAATTGACTTATTTTCTCTCATTATGTTATGTGTAATTGTGTAATAATTAGATATAGCATCTGGTCATCTGAAAAGGAAAGAGATAAGAAAACATGATACCACTTTACACACAGAAAATTTCATGCAACTAGCTTTTCATAATAATCACAAATTTATATAACGGAAACATATGAAAAGTTTTCACCAATTTCTTTCCTTTTTCAAGCAATGGCATAATTGACTCATAAACTGAACCTGCAAATCGTGAACTATACTATATATAGAACTTGTGCAAAACTATTAGTAGTTAAAAACCTATCAAGTCGTTACAAAGTTCGAACATATACCAACTAATTACCATTCATCTAACAAGAAATATAAGATATACCATCAGCGTCATCGTGTCGTCTTCAATTGGTTCTGCATAAAAAAAAAGGGCAGCAAGGGTGCACAAAGCATCCTGCATTCACGCAGGGTCCGAGGAAGGGCCGTAACCCCAAGAGGTGTGATATAGACAGCCTACCCTAATGCATTAGTGACTGCTTCTATGACTTAAACACGTGACTTATAGGTCACACAAACACAACTTTATCGCTGCTGCCTACGAAAATATATTTAAGAGAATCCTCCTAGAGGAATTATGTCATATGAAGAAATATAAGAAGAGTAATTAATTATTGGTTCTGTGAACATATCACAGTTGTCTCAAGTGACAAAGAATGTGTAAATATCCAAAACAAAGAGGTCAAATGATTTACTAAATCACAAGGCACTGAAAACCAGAATGTAGGCCACTTCTGTTATCCACAAATCCCATAGGGCTAAAGTAGGCACAAGTATTTGAAAAAGAAGGAATATAACCTGAAATTTTACTAAAATTACTTTCTAAGTTAATGAGAATACACTTGATTCCAATGATTTGTATCATGTGTATCATATAATGTGCAATTGAAGATAAAGAACTTTGAATTCTGCATATTCAAAGAACTCTGAGAAAACACAGTATCAACTACATACCTGAGGCAAGGAACACCACTAAATTGATAAAAAAAGCACTACCCATAAGAAATTTTCAATGCATTTTACTGTATATTCGGTGCAATAACCTTATTCAGTCGAAGCAACATAATTTATTTGACACGACACATTAAGCCCCATTAATATGCAGTGAGGAGTCTGAAAAATAAACACTCAATTATAAAATTAACCCTTGGGAATCAATATCAAACACGAACAAGATGATGATTGCCTCTCCTATAATATCCACCACAGCATACTCATAATTATCACCAATTACATGATATTCAAAGTTACCATCAGGAAAATCAAATGTGTGATTGTTCGATTAAAGTGGTTGTTTTCCTGACAATCTGATAACAACAATAAATTGTGAGATAGAGGAAATATAAAGAACGAAATCAATATCAAGATCTAACAATGAAAACCTAAGTTGCCCACATCATAGGTGTAAAATTTGTATTAGTAACTTTATCTTTTGTTGGTTGAATGTAAAAATGCACCAATGCATGACATGAAGTCTTTCACACATTCATTCAGACTCAAATTGCTTAGTAAATAAAACAACATCATAAACTATTTCGTTGCAGACACTACTACTCTGCAGATGACCGATCTTTAGGGTCAAATGCAGCAAGCGTTCAAGCGTCAAAAGCTGTTGATAACCTGGCGGCTGCTTCAGATGCCAACCAGTAGGCCGCAATCTTACCTTCTCTCTTCTCTATGAGTATGCTTACAAAAGCACTGCCAATCCCTTTGAACAAGCCTTCGTATGTATATCACTCGAATTTCTTGATTCACTGCGATATTTGCACTTTACATCTCATGACTCGACCTGTAGATGGTGAAACCGCCACCTTTGGCGACCTTTACCACAACGATTTTGTCCATAGATCAAATTATTTCGTGGATTAGACTTCTCATCCATCGGAAGTCAGGGCTAAGAGTTATCATGAGTTAACTACGGCTTGCTGCTAGGCCAAAAGATCTGCACATTGGAATTTTTGTGCAAATGGGACCTGTGCATGTTAATGAGGTATTTCTTGCTTTTTCATTACTAATCTGCAATTTCTGATTTAAAGAAAAAAGAAAAGGTTGTAAACAGGAAAAGTACAAGGGAAATTCAAGTGCGGCAATGAAAAATCTGGATGATGCCAATAAAATAACACAGGAACCCGAGAGAGAAAAAGAAGTATATAATGAGATAACCGACCTTAGCAACAGTTCAAGGAGAAGTGTCCCAAGCATATACCTTACTAGTTCTAATTGATGCACCATCTTTCCAAGTTATAATGGCTTTCCAGTAACCATCTATGCCATCCAATACTACAAATATCACAAGTCACAAGTAAATGAATCAATAGCCATGTGTCAAGAGAACCAATAACTATTTGCAAAAAGAATATGATATAGTTGATTCATGGTGAAATCACACCGCTGCATCATATGGTTAGCCATCACAGTACACCAAGGAACAAAATCTAGTTGGTGAAATCCGCCCAAATCCGAGTGGATTATATGCCTCAACAATGAAGAATTTGTCATTCCTTGAAGAGAGACAGTTAAAACGGATGCTTATGAAATAACTTGACTCCAACTCCTGTGCGTTATTATATTGTTATCCACACTATATAAGTATGAAAACTATTCAACATGGTTTAAATCCACATTGAACTTACCCCACAATAAATGTGTTTTCTCGCATCCTTTTGTCGAAGTACATTACAACGTTCTCTCCCAAATATACCACAATCACTGGAACAGAAGCTAAATTGGCAAGTGCATAATGATACGATCAAGTTGCAAGGAATGGAATTTTTTATTCTAGCCATTGTAGATGCTTCCCAAAACCGGGACTGCAAGCCAAACCCTCCGTCCGCTTGTCATCATACTTGCCATTTTAAAAATCCTGACCGATTGAAGTCACCTTCTTTTAAAGAAAACATGAACGTGCATAGCCAAAATGACGAAGGCTGCCAAATATGTGTTTATCGTTTTCTTAAGAAGCTTAAAAAAAATAAATTGTTTTCTTAGCACTTTACCATTTGACTGCCTCAGTTATAGCTCCAGTGGGATTTTATGTTGATTTCAAGTGTGCATATTCCTTGATGGAGGAGGTTCATATCTTATTGGTGCAATGATCTCCTTGAGCAAGTGGATACAATATTGAGCTTTAAGATATCAACATGCTTCACCGAGGAAAGAGAAGAAGATTGCACATTTAAAATCAACATATAATCCCTGGAGCTATAATTGAGGCAACCAAATGGTCAAATACAAAAAAACATTTCTTTCTAAGCTTGAGGTGAAAACTAAAAAAAGAGAAGACACGTACCTAGCAGACTTTTTATCAAGTTGGCTATGCACTTTCGTGTTTCCTTCTAAAGAAGGAAACTTCATTGAGCAAGAGACTTTTAAAACGGCGAGCAGGATGACAAGCGGACGGAGGGTCAGCCTTGCGGTCCTGATTTTAGCAAGCATCTACAACGACTAGAATAAGGTTTTATATTCTTTGCAACTTGATCGTGACAAAGTTCATTTTCCCATCCACTATGTTTATGGTTGGCTTGCTTATTACTTCTAGAATCATTATAGACTTTCCAATGGAGCATATGTTCCACACATGTTGTATATTCGGGACTGAGGCACGACCCAGACTCCTAGGGGAGGCAGCAATGGGGAATTTTTCGCAATGGGCGAAAGCCTGACGAGCAATGTCGCGTGGAGGTAGAAGGCCCACGGGTCGTGAACTTCTTTTCCCAGAGAAGAAGCAATAACAATATCTGGGGAATAAACATCGGCTAACTCTGCGCCAGCAGCCGCGGTAATACAGAGGATGCAAGCGTTATCCGGAATGATTGGGCGTAAAGCATCTGTAGGTGACTTTTTAAGTCCGCCGTCAAATCCTAGGGCTCAACCCTGGACAGGCGGTGGAAACTACCAAGCCGGAGTACGGTAGGGGTAGAGGGAATTTTCGGTGGAGCGGTGAAATGCGTAGAAATCGAAAAGAACACCAACGACGAAAGCACTCTGCTGGGCCGACAATGACACTGAGAGACGAAAGCTAGGGGAGCGAATGGGATTTGATACCCCAGTAGTCCTAGCCGTAAACGATGCATACTAGGCGTTGTGCGTATCGACCCGTGCAGTGTTGTAGCTAACGCGTTAAGTAGCCCACCTGGGGAGTACGTTCGCAAGAATGAAACTCAAAGGAATTGACAGGGGACCGCACAAGCGGTGGAGCATGTGGTTTAATTCGATGCAAAGCGAAGAACCTTGCCAGCGCTTGACATGCAGCGAATCCACTTGAAAGAGAGGGGTGCCTTCGGGGACACGGACACAGGTGGTGCATGGTTGTCGTC